TATTATACTGGCCTGCCCTGTTATCTGGCAGGATGTACCCAGTTAGTACCCTTGCCAGCCTAGGGTCTTAATCTGTATGCAGGTGTGAAGGTCCCTTTAAGAGACGAGCTCTGCCTACTCCTACTCTCTTCTTTCAGCTGAAGGGTCAGGCAGGACTTTTCCTGCTTCTTCTCTTCTCTTCTCTTCTCTTCTCTTCTCTTCTCTTCTCTTCTCTCTCTCTCTCTCTCTCTCTCTCTCTCCCCCCCCCCATCTTCTCTTCCCTTCCCTTTCCCCACTCCCTTCCCTTCCCCCCAATAAAGCTCCTCACTTATAGGGGGCCTTGAGTACCAGCCTCAGTATCCCTCAGGGCTGAGAATTGGATGTCTATGGCAGGCGAGGATCTGAGGGTAAAAAATTAACTCAAGCACGTTACCTCTGCATCGTCTTTATTTTTTGTGCAAGGGGGAAAAATGAAGTGAAGGGGGCATGGAGGAGAGGAGGAGGAGGAGGAGGAGGAGGAGGAGGAGGAAGAAGAAGAAGAAGAAGAAGAAGAAGAAGAAGAAGAAGAAGAAGAAGAAGAAGAAGAAGAAGAAGAAGAAGAAGGGAGGAAAGTAAGGGGAAGAAGTAGACAAAAACAAAGTAGCATGGAGGAGGAGGAGGAGAAGAGGTGGAGGAGTAAGGGCTGATCTCCACAAAGTTTCTAGTTTTTACAGACGTAGTTGGAAAATTCCACAGGCAAGGACAATGACAAAATCACAAGAAGGGCAGGTAGAACCTGAACAAAGCAGTACTCCGAACTCCAGAACAGGTGGCCCAACCCAGGAAAGCCAGCATTCAAGGGGAAGTATCTGACGTCCCAAGCCATTAGATGAAGTTACTAAATATACCTGAATCTTGGATTCACCCATTCTCCTTATCTAATCTCTTTGGTGATAACCAGTTTCCGGGACACCCAGATTTGTTTGTTAGCAAAGGTGGGGCATGCTGCCTTCTTGCCCAGTGCCTGTCTTCTATAGAAATTTCTTCTTTTTAAATATTTATTTATTATGTATATAATATTCTGTGTGTATGCCTGCAGGCCAGAAGAGGGCACCAGACCTCATTACAGATGGTTGTGAGCCACCATGTGGTTGCTGGGAATTGAACTCAGGACCTTTGGAAGAGCAGGCAATGCTCTTAACCTCTGAGCCATCTCTCCAGCCCCCTTCTATAGAAATTTCTATGTAGTTTGTTAGTAGGTAATTTTGTGGGATTGACTCTATGTAAATTTCACTGCTAGAACAAAGAGTGCCCGCCTCGCTCGAAGGCCTCTTGGTGTGGGGAAAGGATCAAGGTCATCCTGTTGCCCTGCGGCAGAAGTCACACTGCTGAGGTGTTTGGGGAACTAATCCCATTCCGATAGGAGAATCATGACTTCTCAAGGTTTCCACAGCTGTGACAGCGACTTTTCCAAAAGACAAGTCTTCTGCAGCTTTGCAAAACGAGTTGTCCCATGTGGACATGTATGTATCCACTTCCCATGGATCTGCCTATTGGTCTGTCTGTCAGTTGTGTATAGTCTTGTGGGCTCCAACACTCACTGCAAGGCATATCCAGTCACCTGCCACAGTTTGGATCCACCCGCCATGGCACACCGCAAAGGTCTCTCGGCTCCATGGGACCCACCAGTGTCCCACTCGTGCCATTTCACAACCCCCCACCTTGTTTTTCAAAACAGGGTTTCTCTGTGTAGCTGGAACTCACTCTGTAGACCAGGCTGGCTTCGAACCCACGGAGATCCACCTACCTCTGCTTCCCAAGTGCTGGGAATAAAGGTGTGTGTTACTACCACCCCATATGTCTTACCATTTCCTTAATGGCTCATGAGATCAGCGTAAATGGAACTCCATATGTGGTTTGCAGGAGGGGCATTAAAACACCCTAAAAAGCACTACTCTTCTATTAAGGGATCATAAACACATTTCCAGGAACATGAGAGAACATTTCTTCATATCCAAAGCCTTTCTGTTGTAAAATGCATTGGTGCCGTAGTGGCATGTGAGAACAGTAGTGATTGCCCTTTGTTATGGCCTACTTCTAGGCTAAAATGACAGCTGGCTTACAACCGTCAGAACTTGATTTGTTCTGGGTCAACTTAGAGAAAGTGGTATCGGATTCATAATTTCCGTTTCCCCACATTTGGGCTGGAGAGAAGGCCCAGCAGGTTAAAGTTCTTGTAACCAAGCCTGGTAACCTGAGGTGGTTCCCAAAGTGGAAGGAGAACCAACTCCCAAAGGTTGTCCCCTCTGAAGTGTAGGGTGGAATTCTCTCTCTCTCTCTCTCTCTCTCTCTCTCTCTCTCTCTCTCTCTCTCTCTCTCTCCATAAAACCAATTTCCCAATCTATTAATTAATCAGAGTGCATTTGCAAATCTGGAGGTCAATACTGTAAAGACCGGTACAATAAATTAGTTATTATAGGCACCTGGCTTTCATCACCTAGAAAGCTAAACTTGGCTCAGGGCAGGGGGCTAATAAGCGCCACATGTAATTCTCATGGCCGTCATTCTGTCAAATGTCCGCCTTCATCTCGGACCTTAGGCCCTTGTTAGTAATTCTAAAAGTTATTTGCAAATTTGTTTTAAGCAGTTTAGGGACTCTGACAGTTGTTCTTAGGGCGTTTCTTATATAATGCTAGGTATTGTTAAAGGCAAGATTTAGGGACACAGGATTTGTTTTTTATATAGCCTTCTTACATACGTGTGTCCAAATTATATTCAGTATCTGAGAACAGAGCAACTAGTGTGTTAAACATACAGCGTCCCAGGCTCCCACGGAGAGCATTTAAAATCATTCTCTGGTTTGGAGAAATGGCTCAGCACTTAAGAGCACTGTCTGTTCTTACAGAAAACCCAAGGCTTCATGCAACACCCATATGGTAATCTGATACCCTCTTCTGACCTCCTTAGCCACCAGGCAAACTCACAGCATACAGACATACATGCAAACAAAATGCCCACAGACATAAAATAAAAATAAATAAATCTATTTTTTAAATTACTCTCTGGTAATATTGTCTAGAATTCTGTACCTCTACCAAGCAGACCAAAGGATTTATTTCATGTACTAAAGTCTGACAACCAAACCTTCAAGAGCATAAAATTTCCCTCAAGTTTATGAGCTAAACAGAAATAATAACACCAGAAATAAACAATCAGTCAAGCCCTACAAACAGCAAACTTCAGGACACTGGCCTGGTCTCTATAGAGGTAAAAACTAGTAGAGTGTGGTGGCCCATGCCTTCTGTAATCTGGGGAAACAAGATCAGGAGGTCAAGGCTGGCTGTGGCTACCTACGGGGAATTCAAGGTCAGTGAGAACTGCAGGGGGCAACAAACTGACCACACAGAACCTGAGGAATGGCCAAACAAAATGCTGTCCTTTCTAAGGCAATTATTGCTCACCCACAAACTAAACTGTTGTGTGGTTTCCGCTATACCGGAGAAAGCTTGAAAACAGCTATAAACGAAGGAAGCCTGGTTTCAAAAGGTCACCTGTGTGACTCCATTTCTATGAAAAAATATAAAAAAGAAAAATCCATAGAGAATGTTTTCCAAGGACTAGGGAAGTTTTCAGATTTTTAAAATTTTATTGCTTATTTTTATGTGGATACATGTGAATCTGTGTGTGAACTTGTGGGTGTCCAAAGATGCCAGGGGAGCAAGCAAGTGTGCTTAGATGATGCCCACCGGGCTTGTTTTTCCCATAAAACACTGCAAACGATGTGGGAGTAGACAACAGTGATGATTATAAAACCTACGGGAATATTAAAAATCTCAAAAAGTTATCTAAAAAGTCATTACAAAGAAGGTCATTGTTTTTCTAGACTAAAAGAGGCTTAAAAGAAACACAAGTAAGCACAATGAATAGACCTCGACTGAGTCCTTATTGAAAGGAACACACTGTAAAGTAACATTGTATGACAACAGAGAATCTGGGTGTGAACTTGGAGCCCTGGGTTGTTTGTGCAGTTACAATGGCATTGTCCTCAAGCATGACTGTGTCTTTTCTTTCAAAATAAATACTGAAGTATTTAGAGGTGAAATAAACAAAGCTTGAAATTTGTTTTAAAATACTTGGGGGAAAAAAGAAGGCAGCTACCTAGGATGAGTTTGCAAAGCAAGTGTTCCAGGGCAAAGGGCATCGTGCCTTCCCAACCCAGGGAGAAGAGGGCACAGGTGTTCCTTGCACTCTCTTTTGTGCATGTTTGGAAACTTTCTTTCTCCCAAAGTTTATAAAAATACACTTTATCCTTCATAGAAAACTTGCAACTAAAATCATCTCACACCCTGGAAATTTTCTTTAAAATAAATTGCCTGGGTAACTTAGTGAGACACTGTTTCAAAGTAATAAAAGAGGATTTGGGAGGGATAGAGCATGAGCAGGCTAGGCCTAACTTTAATGCCCAGGACCATCAAAAACCAAAAACCACAAAAAGAAGAACAGCCTGGGTGAAGAGAGTACGCATGGCTATAATCCCAGCGCCTCAGAGCTGAAGAAGCATTCCTGAGCTACACAAGCTACCAGCCATTCAGCTCTTTATTAAATCAACCACAACAATATAGCTTCACACAGGGTACAAATATCCCACATTTCTCCCTTTGTCTAAGTAAAAAGGAAATTCTCTCTCTCTCTCTCTCTCTCTCTCTCTCTCTCTCTCTCTCCCTCCCTCCCTCCTCTCTCTCTCTGTCAGTCCTTCTTCTGAAGAGGTAAACCATTGCCACTTTCTTCCCCCTTTTCTCCTCTCTCTCTCTCTCTCTCTCTCTCTCTCTCTCTCTCTCTCTCTCTCTCTCCTCTCTTCTCTCTCTCCTCCCCTCTCTCTATCTATCCTCTCTCTCTGTCTCTCCCTCTCTCTCTCTCTCTCTCTCTCTCTCTCTCTCTCTCTCTCTCTCTCCTCTCTCTCTATCTCTCTCTTTATTTCTTCCCTCCATAACCCCCTTACCCTTATACCCTTCCCAACTTCCCAATATCTGGTAAATAAACTCTATAACCAAGCTCTCTCTGCATGGCACATGGCGTATTTGTCTGTCTCCCACCTGCCATGGTCTCCCACCTCCCACAGGGTCCTGTGGCCATGAAACTTTCAGTATTACCATCCTAAAAATATCTTTTTAGGCCTTAAAACATTCTTTTATGTTTCTAAACCTTATAAACTTTACAGCTCTTATGTAAGTTTCTTTTTTGAATTTGGTAACAAGGAAAACTATAACTAATCGTCTTCAACTCCAGTAGAAACCTGAGGATATATTACCTGAGTAAACAGGAAGTACAAAGCAAGCAACTTCCAAAACTATAGCAATCACAGAAACAGCATTTCCTGACCATCCTTGTGATAGTGTGAATAAAATGTGTTCCTCCAGGCTCATGTGTTTGAATACTTGGGCCCCAGTTGGTGGAACTTTTTTGGAAGGATAAGGAGGTGTGGTCTTATTGAAGAAGGTGTGTCTCTAGGGGCAGGCTTTGGAATTTCCAAAGACTGGCCATTCCCAGTAGGCTCTCTCTGCTTATGAATCAAGATGTAAGACCTTGTCAGTTCAGGCCATCATGTGTTTGCTCTGCCACCATGGACTCTAACGCTCTGAAACTGGAAGTCCAGTTAGATGTTTTCTTTTGGAAATTCTCTTGATTGTGTTGTTTGGACTCAGCAACAGGAAAGTAACTAAGGCAGCCTTCTTTTGTCTTGATTCCAGAAATTCTTGTTGTGCAGTTGAATATCACAGTGGTAAAGGGATGGGAGGAAACCATCACAAGTGGGTTGTTGCTTCTGAGTTTTTCAGAATAAAAATGTTAGAGCAAAGAACATGGAACCCAACACCTGCATTAAGTAGAGAAATTAAATAGGAGAGGAAAGGCTCAAAGTCTCTTCGTTACTTAAAGAGAAAGAACATTCAATCTCTGCTCAAACACTACTTGAAATTCAGCAAAGATGGAATCCATTGCTAGTTAAATACCTAGCTGATCTGAGCAATTAGCTAACTTTATATCTAGATAAAACGTGCCCTTGTATTTTCTGTGCTAAATGTTTTTGTTGTTGGAGTTTTCTATGGTGATACATTGCTTTTAGAACATAATTTTACTTTATAATCCTTTTAGATTGATTTGTCTTAAAGTTCTGATAAACACACACACACACTAAACAGCTTCTTGCCCATCTTTTCTCTTTTAAAGTTTTATTCACTCAATTTTTTAATGTGTATGGGTGTATGTCTGTACCACTTTGTGCCTGGTGTCTTCACAGGCCAGAGGAATGCACTGGGATCCCCTGCAGCTACAGTTATAGATGGTTGTGAACCACCATGTGCGTGCTGGGATCAGAACCTGGGTCTTTTGGAAGAAGAGTCAGTGCTCTTAACCGTTGAACCACCTCTCCAACCCCTCCCTTCATCTTTTCCATCTCAGTCAAATCTGAATCTGCTCTTATTGTCTCTTTGGGCAACTATAGATCCACCTAGAACTGAAAACACCATAAATTGGAAGCGCCTTTTGATGTGGGAGTGTCATATATCAATCTGTTGATTTCATTGGTTAAGTTATAATAAACCAGCTGCTTGGCCTCATGGCTTGGAACATAGATGGGAGGAGTAAACAGAATAGAATTCTGGGCGGAAGAGGAAGTGAGGTCAGACTCTGCTCGGCTCCCCGAAGAGACGCCATGCTCAGCTCTCCCGGGTAGATGCGATAGCTCTGCTCTCTGAGGCACACGCGATGAAGATGGACATAGGCTAGAATCTTCCTGGTAAGCGCACCTGGGGTGCTTACAAACATCATTAGAAATGGGCTAGTCCAGGTGCGAGAATTAGCCTGTAAGGGCTAGAGTTCATGGGCCAAGCAGTTCTTAAATGAATACAGTTTGTGTGTTGTTATTTTGGGCATGAGGTAGCCAAGCGGCTGGGGTGTTGGGGACGCAGCCCCACCGCTCCTTAATTCAACAGCCTTTAGCACACTTGCAAGCATAGCTTAGCCGATGAAATGTGCACAGAGCACTGAGGTCAGGCTACAGCTAGGCAGAATCACACACCTATCCTTCCAGGTTGTTACCGAACGACTGAATTAGGGTCCTAAGATTTCTTTATCAGTTCTAAGAGCCTTCGTTTGTAACTGGGTGGGTAGTCTGTCATTTCAACATGGTAGTGCCTAGCTGCTAATATTTATTCCTAAAATCTGTTTACTTTCCTCTTCTAAGCAAATCACCTTAGTCAAACCTTAACCAAGCCAACACCAGATCTTAAAAGTCTCCTCTGCAGAAACACTGGTACGGCTTTTGATTTTTCTCGATATGACATAAACTAGGGGCCCTCTGAATGCTGTCACCACAAACTCTCCCTGCAAGCCACACTGCCCTGTATCTTTTTCAGTTCCATTTACCCTTTGGGGCCCTCAAGTGGGCAAGCATTTTCCTTTTCTACCTCTGGGTCAAGAGCAAGCTGTTCTTTGGGCCTATATATCTTCATCTCTATAGAATGGCATCTCCAGTGAAATAGCGGCTGTTGATTTCCCTTTTCCTGCCCCACTCATTCTGCGTTCAGATGATCTGGGTTCAAATCCCAGAATCATTCTTGCTAGGCTGCTCTCTGGCCCGAGTAAGTCGCTCGCTCGTCTATACCTTGAGGGTGATTAAAATGATTCTGGGGATTTAACTTGCCACTAGATTGGAAGGCATGTGGGAAATTAGTTATCATTTTCGCAATACTCCCATTACACCGTTCATCTACTGTTTGCCAAGTTCAAGTCTGTCACCTTGAGTACACTGATGGAGGCCCACCTCACCTCTCTCTCCCCCTGTCCTACTTCTTTGCGAACATAGAAAATGAACGCGGAAAAAGGCTGGTCCTTCCAAGGTTAGGAACCGCTGAACAAGACCGGAACAAAGTCGAAACACTTCGAGCACCGGCACAGCTTTAGGAAAGGAATGTTCTTGACCTGGAGCAGCCTCGGAGATCTCGGGACCGCTCCTGACACCACCATACCTCTGCGGCGAGGAGGACTTTGCTTAAGCACCCGGTCGCCAGCAACACCGTCGAGGGAGGAGGACCCGCCGCTGGCAGCCGATAGCCCCGCCCGCCTGCCTGGTCCGAAACGTCCGCGTGATTGACAGCCCTACTAGCCCCACCCATATTCTTTCTGAGGATTGGCTGCCCGCTTCTTCCTGTCCTGCCCCCTCCGAACGGCCCTCTGATTGGCTACGGCTCTCTGGCCAGCCCCGCCCCGTTTCCTGGCGCTAGTACCCGCGCAGAGTGCCCCGCGCCGGTCTTTCCGTCCCCGGCTCGGAGGTGAGTGTCCTCCGGGAGGGTGTCCTGCGGAGTATCGTCACGTGTCCCCTCGAGCTTTGCCCGCCTTGAGCTCAGCTGCTCCCGGCGGCCAGAACGAAGGGGTAGAGCAGTTCTCGGCGGCCTGGGGGGGCGGGCGGCCGTGCCCAGCCCGGGGCCGCGCGAGACACAATGTCCCCTGCGCTCTCCGGCCATGGCGCCCTCACCGCCGCCTTTTTTATCTCCGCAGGCTGATACTCCGCAGCCAGGTCCCCAGCGCTCTCAGTCGTGCGGCAGCTTCGGACCCGAGCGCAGGTACGTCCCGGCGTTAGTGGAAGAAAGGCCCAGGCCACGTGGCCCCAGCGACCTCGTGTTCGCGGCCCGCGTTTGTTGAGCTGCATGGGTCCTCCCGAATCGCCCTTTCCTGTGCCCTTTTAAGGTTGTCGCCGTACTTTAAGAGGCTAACACAGAAGGGTAAAGGAACTCTCCATAAAACCCATGGAGGAGACCGTACACCTCCTCTTTGGATCCTGTCTGGAGTCACAGATGAACCGGAATAATTGTATAGCTTCTGGAGAATTTATGAACAGTATGACTTAAAATTTAAAAAGAACTGGGCCGCTTTGATCGAGAAAGAAGACCAGAAGGGTACATTTACTTAGAAGTGAAATTTGAGATCGACTGAGAAGAATATAATATTGTATTTTCTATTCTGAAACATTTTTATTCACTTTTATAGGAGGAAAACTACAAGAAAGAAACTCGTGAGCTGAATGCCAGGAAGTCGAAGGGGGTGATGCTCCAAGGTGAAGTAGTCTTCCCCTGCAGTGACACGGCTCGCCAGTGTCTTAGGATTATCGGCGTTGTAGCAGATGGTGTCACCCACTTGATCGATGAGATAGGTGCTGAAGCCCCATTTTACAGGAAAGGAGACTGAGGGCCATATGAGAGAACCCCAGAATAGCCTTATAATTGCACTGAAGATGGCCTCCCCAAAATACGTTTTTTATTTTCTTTTTTTTTTTTTTTGTTCTGGTGGGGGAGGTTCGAGACAGGATTTCTCTGTGCCTGGCTACCCTGGAACTCAAGACATTAGCTTTCCTCTGTCTCCGAGTGCTGGAATTAAAGGCCTATGCCACCATGCTTGGTTATGATATGTTAGGGCTTTAAGCAAAGCTGGACATTGGTGGCGCACACCTTTAATCTCAGCTCTTGGGAGGCAGAGGCAGGTGGATTTCTGTGAGTTCGAGGTCAGCCTGGTCTACAAAAGCTAGTTCCAGAACAGGCTCCAAAGCTACAGAGAAACCCTGTCTCAAACCAAAAAGAAAAACTGCAAACAAAAGGGGGAAGTAAAGGAGGACAGTCAGGCTAGATCATTGGGATTTGCTGGGCTAGGAGGTGGTACTTGTGTCACCTTGCCTGCCAGGACAAGTTCTTTGCTAGCCCAGTCTGTGCCAGTAGTCCCGATGTTATTAACCCGTAAATTGCTGTGTATCACTTTCCAGAATCTTAAATAAAAGCTTTTCCTCTGCCGATTCCTAATGGTCTTTTTCTTTGTTTAACACTGGAACATGTGGAAGTCTGTTCTGCTTAGGCTCATACTTGGGATGTCAGGCTTGGTGTTTGGGACTTTTAGCTGTTTTGGCCTTTCTAAACGTAATTCTATATTGAATGCGAAAACTGAAAAGGAAGCCAGGCGGTTCTTATGAGTTCAAGGCCAGCCTGGTCTACAGGGTCTACAGGCTTCAAAACCACTAAGAAACCCTGTCTTGAAAAACCAAAAAGGAACAAGAGAACGACTGCTCCTGGGGGAAAGGGAACATTTATTGTGGATAAAATGGAGCCTGGATAGAGGCAGGGTCATCTGACTTGAGTCTAGAGTGGACTTAACCAGACTGAGATGGGGAGAAGGGAACTCGAGGCTGAAGGCATGGAGGAGCAGCTCAGGCCCTAGGCTGTAGAGTTCAGGGTAGGGGTTGGGTTATGGCAGCCACTTCTAGGTCTGCTTTGATAGAGAAGGCTATTAGTTAAAGTGCCAGTGTTGAACCCTTGACTTCCATTTTGCTGGGCAGGGACCCTGTGAGGACAGACCAGTGCGGTTACCTGCCTTGTGATTTTCAAGGTCTCATTGTAGAGGAGTCTGGCATTGGGGATACAAAGGTGGCTGAGATGGGACTGTTAGCAATCCCGTTTGAATAACTGCTTTTTACACAACAGCTTTAATAAAAGCACTAGACTACTCAGCACAGTTGACAGTAGCTGGCGGCCCGGCAGCACAGTACAGATTTCCATTGCTATACAGGTTTGCTATAAACAGGCCTGAGTGGAGGAATAAGACTGAAATACTTTATCTGACAGGGTCAGATGAAGGGCTTTTAGGGAGAGTCAGGAAGCTGAAGGGGAACCCCCCCCCCAGGAAATGCTGAGGAAGTACTACCAGCCCCCCCCCCCCCCCCCCGGCCCCCCCCCCCCCCCCCCCCCCCCGTTGGTCCAGTGAAACTGACTAATCAATAAGATGAACATGATGCTAAAACTATTGCCAAATATCTCCCGATAGCTCACGCACTAGCTAGAAAGCAAGGACAAGGAAAATGTTTTAAGTGAAAGGTAAGATTTACAAAAATTGAAATTAATAGAACATTTTTGCCATAGATGTACAATAATATATATAGGTACATATACGTCATATGTATATAGGCTATGTAGTTTTGGCTAACCTCAAGCAAAATTAGGTAATTTGGTGGGGTTTTTTGTTGTTTATTTTTTTTGTATTTAAATACTGTTTTTCTGTATCCAGACTTGGAACTCTGTAGACCAGGCTGGCCTTGAATTTAGAGATCCACCTGCCTCTACCTCCCCGAATGGTGGGATTAAAGATGTGTGCCCCACCACTTGGTTTGGTTGGTTGTCTTTAACAGCAGTTTAAATTGGAATCTCTGTAAAGCTCTGACAACCTTTTCTAAAAGTGTAGCTAAGCAGGCTAGAGAGTTGGCTCACTAGAGCAAAGCAGGCCTACTGGCCCACCGGCAGAGGACTGGGTTTGGTTCCCGGCACCCATGTGGAGGCTCACTACCAACTCCAGTTCTAGGAGGCCTGACACTCCTGACCTTGGTAGGAGGAGACTCATAAATGCTTGTAGGCAAACACTCAAAATCTAAAAATGTATCCAAAGTACTTCATGTAGGCTTTCATGTGTTTAGGTTGTAATGTTACAAATATGAGACCACACAAATAAAGATAAGGAAAACAGACTAATTGGTTTCTGAGTATGTACTTCTTGAGTCCACTTAAAATAGAAATTTAAGATATACAGAATACAAAATGATCAAGTTATAATTTTTTTACGAGGATAAATACCCAACATTCCTTATAGCTTCTGCCTTCCCTCTCCCAATTTAATTTTTTGAGACAGTCCCTGTAGTCCTGTTGTCCTGGAACTCTGTAGACCAGCCTGGACTCTGCCTTGGATTAAAGGCCTGCACCAGTTTGCCTTGTTCTGGGTTTCCTGCTGATAAGACTAAAAAAAGCTGACTGGTGGGTGGTGATACCTGCCTTTAATCCCAGTACTTGGGAGGCAGAAGCGGGTAGATCTCTGAGTTCAAGGACAGCCAAGGCTACGTAGAGAAACCCTGTCTCAAAAAGGACCCAAAAGAAACCCTCACTCCAAAAGGAAATTTCTGTATTGTCAGATTTCTGCCTGCCAGGCCCTCTCACTCATTCCTTTGGAGACATTTCCATACAGAATCACGGTAGTCTCTAGCTTCCCATTGGCAGTTTACAGCTTGTGGGTATCTGAATTCACCTTGAACTTGTGAGACCTGTGTGTTCTCAGGTTTACAAGTTCCTCACCCTGAGCTAGCTTGCTAGACTCTGGATTAACAACTGTGTACTGCACGACCATTCCCGCTTTCATAGGCTGCGTGATGCTCCCGTGAAGCCAATGAAAGGTGTTAGCCATGTTCATTACGTGCTGACATTTACCAAGACCAATGGAAAAACCTCCGCATCCTGAATGTATACTCAAGCTGCAGTATACATTCTGGTTCCCTTTGCCTGGTCTCTGCCAGGGTCAACAAAGGTAACAGTGAGAAAGTCTGCAGAAGTTTGGCTTGTGTGCAAGCTTTCCTTCAGAGCGAGCTAACTGCAGTTGCTTTTCTCATAACCGTCTGGCTGTCGGTGCACCTCAGGTCTCCCTCAGTTATTTTCTCAGTTCTGTGGCTGACTGGATGAGATGTCTTCAGATTTAACAGTTATCGGTAATTTAGCACTTTTTGTGTTTCTCAACCTTTCTAATGCTGTGACCTGTTAATACAGTTCCTCATGTGACCCCCAAACACAAAATTATTATTATCATTTGTTTTTTCGACACAGGGTTTCTCTGTAGCTTTGGAACTTGACCTAGTTCTAGTAGATCAGGTTGGCCTCAAACTCAGAGATCTTCGTGTCTCTGCCTCCTGAGTGCTGGGATTAAAGGCGTGGGCCACCATTGCCCAACTCCAAATTATTTTTGTTGCTACATTTGTAACTAATTTTGCTACTGTTATAAAGTGTAATATAAGTATCTGATAGGTGAACCCCTGCCCAAAGGGATGGAGACCTACGGGTTGAAAACCCATGTTCGATGAACCAAGTTACAGCCAATACCAGTGATAGCTGCTGTGGTTAATTTCACAAGCTCTTCGTGAAGTATTAAAGCAGTAGGACACAAGCCAGAGGGCAATGGTGCACGCCTTTAATCCCAGCACTCAGCAGAGGCATGTGGATCTCTATGAGTTCGAGGCTGGCCTGGTCTACAGAGTGAGTGCCCCAAGACAGTCCTGAAGAACCAAAAAAAAAAAAAAAAAAAAAAGTTAGGCAGATCTCTAGTTCCAGGACAGCTAGATCTGTTACATGACAAACTCTATCTCAAAAAACAACAACAACAAAAAAAATGAGCTAGCCAGGTGGTGGTGGTCTACAAAAGCTAGTTCCAGGATAGGCTCTAAAGCTGCAGAGAAACCCTGTCTCGAAAAACCAAAAAAAAAAAAAAAAAAAAAAAAAGAGGGGGGGCTGAAGAGATAGCTCAGTGGTTAAGAGCAGTCACTGCTCTTCCAGAGGTCCTGAGTTCAATTCCCAGTAACCACATGGTGGCTCACAACCATCTGTAATGAGATCTGGTGCCCTCTTCTGGCGTGCAGGCGTACATGGAGGCAGAATGTTGTATACATAATAAATAAATAAATCCTTAAAAAAAAAAAGAATGAGCTAGTTTGAAGCTAAGGTTTTCTATGGGTACTCAACAGTGGAAAAAAATCAATATAGTCAATTTTCAAGTACATAATAAAGTGGCTGCTGATGTCTCCAGTCCGGATAATACACGTGTGTGGCTGGGTATCTCGAGTTCTTGTTCTTTGGAACCCACACTGCAAATGCTGCGCACATTTGGAGGTGAATGTAGCACACTGAAAAGGAACATTTTGTAAACTTTGAACGTCTTACTTGGTTTTCAGGTCAAAGTCAGTTGAGTTGTTTTTATTGTTTGAGTGTTTTCTCTGCCTGCTGCCTGTGAGTGTACCTCCTGCTTGCCTGAGGGCTCTGGGTCTCCTGGGAAACAGAGGCTGCCTTGTGGGTGCTGTAACCAGATCAGCGCCTCTTTGAGAGCAGCAAACACATAGCCATTGAGCTATCTCCAGCCCCCACACCTTTTTTGTTATTTGGTTGTTTTTTTTGTCTGTTTGTTTTTGAGACAACCTCCCGTTCCCCTGGTGGGCTTAGAACTCACTCTGTGACAGAGGGTGACCTTGAACTGATCCTCTTGCTTGCCTCTCAGTTTTTTCTGGGATGCTTTGGGAACAAACCTAGGGCTTCTTGCATGTTAGGTACTCATCAGCTGAGCCCAAGCCGCCCACGGAACAAGGTTTTACAATTCATCTGTACGGCAATAATGTCCAAAGAATGAATAATGCTTTATTGTGTGCATGAACAGCAGATGAATATTGTTTATCTGTTGATGGACATTTGGACTAATTTCTCCCTTTGGCTATTGCGAATGTTCAGTCTACACACTGATGTGCAAGTATCTGTGTGAATCTTCTCTATTTACTGAGAAGTGATTGTTAGATTACATGGTATTTCTGCTTTCAGTTTCTAAGGAGCCATCCAACTGTCTCCACAGCAGCTACCCCACTTTCTCACCAGGAATGCATAAGCACATCGAAACAGTGTTTTATGCACCTTCTCACTCAGGGTTTGCAATATTAAGTGTAAGATATTTTGAAGTTACTTGTTAAGCGAAGGAATTTGATCTACAATGACAGTTCTTTACTGGAGGGGTCGCGTTACCTTTGGCGGCGGGGATAAGGGCTGTAATAAGTGTTTGTACGGGAAGGGCACTTCAAACTATAAATGTCACCTTATCTCACTTCAGAAAGAAAACCCCACCTAGGGAATGAGTGGGAACGTCAGCAGGAGCAGTTAATTCCCTTAACCAGAAGTCCTGCACTAAAGAACGCTCCGTTAGGCCCAAAGAAGCTCCCTTTTCAGAGCAGGGGGAGAT